TTATATCTAAGGTCCATGTGTAATACTATCTTTATAACTAATACATGGGATAGTAGGTACTATTATTTCAGCATTGCTTTGGGTATTTAGCTATTATCCTAAGAGGTTATTCTAATAGGAATGTCCGCTACAAAATGAGTTTGACTATACAATCAGACTAACTGATGCATATTTCTGTTTTAACATTTCAAAGGAGACTTGTTGGAAGGTTGAAGGAATTTGAAACAAGCTATGAATTGAAACGTAGTTGAATCATCCATGAAGTTTATACGACCCCTTCTCAAGTATGAGGGTGAGGGTTCAAAACCTAAAAAAAATTCTAAGTATAGTGGTGTAAAGAAGTCTAGTAGGGGCACCTAGAATAATCATTTAATTAAAAAACACATTTATAAAACATATAAAACTGGACTTGCTTAATTATTTTTTGCGAATCCATTGCAAAGATTTTCTCTTAAACGCCTTGATCAATTTTGATGAACCTTTTTGCATGTGTCTTATTTTGATCTGGGTAGTCCCCGCAGAGTCCTTTGGATTAAGTACCTATGTTATAATCTAACATATATTATAATTTATACATATATGAACTAAATGCTTAATTTCCTTAACAGAAAATTAGGATTATTTCAGTAGTTAAAAAAAATATTTATTTTGTTTGTGGACAATACATGGTTTTTACCACTCTGGCTTTGAGACCTACCTTGATTAGTTTTCTTAAGATACATGATTTATTTAAAATTTATAGAATAATGTTCTTTTCTATTCTAGAAATTCAATATCAATAAACTGACCCCGAATTACAGAGTTAATATTCGTTTTTATAATAATTATAACCTACGTAATAATTACAATAAAATATGTGTAGAAATATGTAAAAGGTCACTTCATTACGTTGATAGTATATATTTTTTATCAACACAGCCGACATTGCTAATATTTAATCATTTTTCGAAGATAATATAGGACGGTATCTAATAAATGTTTGTAAATCACTTGATAACATGCTAAATACATATTTATATCTACATAATTATATTTTTTGAAACGTACTTTTTGTAATTACCTATTACAGGTGTACCTTTAAATGCGTAATTTCATTCAAACATGCAATAAGATAATAATTTTAATAATTTATTTTCGTAGCTGACTGAAGGAAACTATTGAAAATTAATGAATAATTTTTCGCCCTAAACCCGACTGATTTATGTAGGTACATCATTGAAATAGGTGTTCCTAAGTTTTGATGCGAAATATTATTAAAAATGACAAATTAGTGGCTAATAAATTAGAAACTGTACCGCTACAAATGAATTTTACATTATGAACAATAATATCTTTGTTAAATCCGTTTCATATTAAAAACACAATTTATTTAGTTACTATTTTTATCCTTATTATAGGTACTAAAGATGAGAGTAGTAAACAATTACTTTAACTATTTCCAAAAATAACTGAATTTTGTGAATGTGGACAATGTTGCAAACAATTTTTGCGAAATTATTTAAAAAAAATAAACATCTTAGATACAATTTGTAAAGAGTTCGTTAAACTACCGTTAAAAGAAAGTAGGTACGATAAAAAGAGATTGAAACAAAAACCAAAAACCAAAGAAGAAGATATAAAGAAAATAAATACAATCAAAACAATAATTATTGTACTTACTTGGAATTTCTCACGTTTTTAGGACTTAATAGAAAGTAGGGCCAAATCACGGCGGATAGCACGGACGTTAAAAAGTAGAATATAAAGAAATTAAAATAGAACTTAAATTTATTTGGTCCAGTATCGTGTAGTTTCTTCAGAACATAAGTAAACACACATACTGTTGTGAATAAAATTATTTGATACCACATTTTGACCGTTCTTGCGCACACCGATCACACATTCGAATCGCGGTATGTTTATATCCATACTGAATTAATTATTATATCTTGCCATTTATGTTTTATCGCGCTAGGATTCTGTGGCACAAAGAAAGAGCCCGCCATTTTTTAATGAATGGTTTGGCATAGACAAGCATCTGATCCGCGACCGGTTGATCGAGTTTCGAACAGTTACAGTTATTATATGCAAAATTTGCGTAAATAACCTATGGTCTATCGATTTGAAGGCTTTGTATTTGTAAGACCACTTCCAGTGCAAGGTCTGGTCTCTTCTTTTCCCTATAGGTTCTTTTAATTTTTTGATTCTAGTAATGAGGTTCAATGTGTTTCTAATCTCCGTGTGTTGTTGCGTCATATGGTATTTCTAATTTATTTATTAATTATCTGTGGATTATCTGTGGTCTGCTACCTATTGGACATAATATTATCAAATCAATCTTACTGGTAACAACAGTGAGAATGAGCGATTCAAACAATTAGATAATGATTTTTAATGGGATGTGATAATAGTAGATGAAGGTCCGTAGTGTAGCCTCACCAATATTAAAGTTCCGAGCTATAATTGCATAAATATTTTGGTATCTCCCAAGGGTGACCTTTATAATATTAATGATTTTATAAAATGTGCCTCTATCAGTCGTTAGGTACATTATCCAAATAATTGTTAAAAGTAATGTAAAATTATTTTCTGTTGTTTTTTTTAGTATTTTTAAAAGAATTAAAAAATTCGTATGCTATAAAATCTGAATTCGGCAGAAAATTCCTTCAAACTCAATATACGGAAAAGCCTACAAGTATTTCCAGAATTCCAGAGCTATTTTTGTTCCATTTTTAAACTTGAATACTTTTTTGTATACTTTTTTTTCCAGGAATATAATAGGATATAATATTCTCATAAATTAGTACGTAAAATACGATCGAATTTAATTTAAAAGAACTTCATTTGTTGTTTTTTTATATAAATGGGTTTCATAGATTATTCTAGATCTCTCATTGTTATGCTACTAATAATTTAATTCCTCAATGGTTGTCCAAAAAAATATTATAGACAGCGAAAATTTTATTTGAAAATTCTAAAAGCTATTTTTCGTACTTAACAGCCTACTTGTTTGTAGTGCATTACTATAACGAGAAACTGTAATAATTTCTTTAACGCCAGTATCTTACTAAAGAAAATAAAGGCGACCCTCCGAAAAAAATGTACGGAACAGTTGAAAGATTAGTGTGGATCGCGCCCCCGGGCCCCGCCTGATATCTAACGAGGCTGTCGTCACGCTAAGGTTAGTAACACACGCGGTGACATTTTGACTAAAAGAATAAAAAATATAGGTGTTCCAAACTTTTTTGTTCTACAATTTCTATTTGGTTGGATCTTTTTTGTATTGTGTTTATATTCCTATTGGTTTATACACTTAACTACCAGGGCAAAAAGCTAAATAATAATATAAATATAAATAATAAACAGATATAACAACTACCTTGCAGACGATATATGACATTTTAAGTTACAGTGCACAACGCACACAAAGTAATTTATTTTTATTCCTTAGTCACCGTTAATTATATCATACAAAAGTCATCATTACGATTGTAAAATACTAAAAATGTTATAAATAGCTCAAGTGGTGTATTGGATTTTTTTCAAAATAATTCGCAGTCAGACTCAGTATGCAACCACCCTAACACGAAATCAGTTTACAACTTTATATCCTCACCGCTTGATAAGTCTACTATCTGTTATCAGGCCGCTCACCTACATCAGCTACATGACGATACACACTGCTGATTGAAGATAACAAACACCTTTATTGACAACGTTTTTTTTATATACGTATTATAAGGGTCCATTCCAAGGGAGTTGTCAATGAGAAGAAAATACTTGACTCTATCGCGTTTTTTTTTAAGGGTTGGACATCATCGAATGACTCATGGACATCACCGCCTGGGTGAGGCGGGAGGGAGTGTCAGACTCTTACTGACTAAAAACCACCCCGTTCCTACTCCTGCACGTCGAGCCGGAGCCCCGGTTACCCGTTAGGTTCTCCGCGACAACTCTCTCGCTTTAAGGGTCGAAGGAGGTGTTTTCTGTTGTTTAATAAAGGCATGATTTATGAACGTTCACAGTAGTAGCACGGAGTCTGGAATTGTGCCTGGTATATACCAGTAGTGAAAGTGAAAAGTGACCACCACTACCACTACCACTTTTCTACACTATTTATATATAATATACTAATAACATAAATAGTGAAAAGTGGGTGTTACATTGTACAGTGGCGTAATATACACCTCTGCCTAACTGCCTACTCTTTCGGGGATAAAAGGCATGATGTTATGTTGTGATTTATGAATGTGCCTTTTTTGAGAATAAACTGAGGTTTGGGTACATAGATACGTTATCTCAATAAAGACAGACGTATGACGATTTATACAATCAGGAAGATACGGCGAGATTAGAAAAGTTATCGGGTCCTCAGACTGTTCTGACATTGATTCGAATACTAATTTTAAGATTCATGGGTAATAATGTCTTGTTAAAGTTAAGTCTGTGGTGATTTTTATAATTGGCCACCAACCTCCCGCATACTAGAAAACGATCAACAAGGATTTATATCTAGGAAAACCTTGCCGAAGTATCTGGAATTAACCTTATGTTTTATTAACAGCTTTTGTATTAGAATAATCAAAATATAAGCAAAGTTATGCATATAAACATAACAAATGGCATCATTTAATAAGAACGAAGGTTAGCGTGACCTACAATTTGATAGTAAATAACACAAAGTTTACTTCTAAGCGTGGCTAATGTCACAAAGTGTGGGTATAAAAGTTTTATGTATCGCGTCGCCTAGTCGTAAACCAGACGTTACGGTTACGTTAAAGTAACCTACTTTCAAGGCGCGAAAACCACACATTTTGACGTTCTTCATAAGTACGCATTTTACGAGTCACCAAGAATTTCTGTCAACGACGCACGCAGAAAAACAATGAGCGAAATGCTTTATTATTCAATTTTCTTTTTTTAAAACTTCATCGTAGCAAAAACTTTATTGATCAATTAGAAAGTTAATGAGGAAACACTAATTAGTTTTGTTAATTAAGCCCATAACACTCGATGTTTCATATTAGCACTTTTGAGTTTAGTAAAAATGCAAATGGCGCGTTGTAAAACGAGAATTCTGTTTGCTTTGATCAGTGTTTCTGTGTTACTGTGCGGTGTGAAGCCAGATCTCGCACCTAAAATGACATCTAAGCCCTTACATCCCGACTATCAATATCCAATATCGTACAAAGACCATGTCTACACCTCTCTGAGTGACAACGCTCGTGATTTATTTTTCGCTGTGAATATACGTATGTAACCGTTTATTTTACCTACGAAGATATAAGCCCCACTTTATTAACAGATTATGTTAGTGAAAAGGAATCATTTTGCTATATTAAGGTTGGGTTATTAGTCTTTGAATGGCTGTATGAGCTATATCACAGTCATATAATTTGTAATCAGAAACGAACGGAGTTATAATGTACATATGAAATGACTCATAGCCACTTTCTATAGGTATCTATTCTTGTTTTTATAATAACTATCTTGAGACATACTAAATTAACTAAAATCACGGGTTACTCACGTGAATATATTGAGAAAAGCTCTACTAGTTTCGAACCACAGAGGGGTTCTTCCTCATGAGCAGTGTACGCGGTCGCGGCCACGTCGCGCAGCTCAGCAGCTGAGCTGTGGCTCCCGTGATTTTAGTTAATGTACCTATTCTTATTGACTATGAAGGTTTAATGAAGTAGGTCGATTGAAATAACTGACTGATTTTATACATCATTTAGTTAGAAATTCCAAATTCAAAATTTCAAATTGTTAAAAAAATGCTAGCATAATTTGTTGATTTTGTTCAATAGATTTTCAACATTATCATCGGGCAATAAAGTTAAAAATCCATTGAGGCAACCTGTTTCATCAAATATTTGTTTAAGCGCCATTTGATTACAATTATTTTTCTACAGATCCTTCGTGCGTCGCAAAGAAAGGACAATGCATACCACGAGGGCGATGTATTGAGAAGAAAATGTTATACATATCACGTATTTGTTATGCCTTGGATCGTGTTTGTTGTTACTCAGACTATGTTAAAGAACCTCAAGTGGAACACGTCACTAAGTATCCTCCACCTACTATAATACCTAATACCGAATCTATATAAGATTGTATTATTACTGTTTTAATTGATGTAATAAGTTTTATAGAGTGAATAAATAAAATAAAATCTTATGACGATAAGTAGTTTTCTGTAAATAGATTACCTTTAGTAGTTTTTCGAATTGTATTAAAAGGTAAGAGTTTGGAAACGCTATGGATGTAGGGTACCTAATAGGCTTACAATTGAATTTATACTCTAAGCATATAAAAAAATAAGAAAACAAAGATTCCGACAAATTAGGAAGCTCCTCCCTTTTTTAAAGTCAGTTTAAAACATGGTTATCTATACATTTGTCTTCGTGGAATGATAAGCATAATAAAATATTTCATGGACCAAGGTTCATGATTTGCATCAACCTCTTTGCTGTGTTCTCCTAATCTAAAAGGTGCACTGTTACTCATGCTAAGTTCAACCACGAAAGCATATTTCAATTTACCACTTGTCACTTAGGACCACAGTATAAAAATCATATTGTGCTTATGACCCTCGCCCACGGCCACTTTTTGTATCATATCATGTGTGTCGGAATGTTGCTCAAAATTAGCATGCTCATTTCAGACATGTTTACAAATCAATAGGCGTTCGATTTTTGAACAAGAAACATTTTTGAGCGTGCTCAAAAGAACGCCTTTTATGTCTAAATACTCAAACGCTACTGAATTCTAAGTCGCGCTTAATTATATTCTGTCACTACAAATTCTTTAAAAATAACAGATATGGTACGATATTAAAGTATGGTTTAAAATTGAATAGCCTTTCAGTGTTTGGGTATTAGCATTTATTCTTCTCTGTCGTTCCGCTCTTGGCAGAGCGGTCGTGGTCACGTTGAGGCGGCCGTATTTGTGTTGGAGGCCGGTACAGCTTTCCTCACGATCTTCCGCCATCTCTCTCTGTTTGTGGATTGTCTGGATTGTTTGCACAGTCTGACACTGGGTTTTCCGTTGCCGATCTTCCTCGTGATCTGGTTCCCTCTACTTTCCCCTGAACGAGCAGCCGCTCTATGGAGTTGTTGTCACGACGGGAGACATGGCCAAAGTACTGCGGCATGCGCGTCTGTACTATGGTTTGGATACTTTGTGATGCCGAGTTCTCAGAGTATGGATACGTTGGTGCGGAACTCAGTCTACGATACGCCAAGCATTTTCCTCCGCCACCACATCTCTAGCTATATGCTATATTAACTCGTCGAGTACCGTCATTATAGACACAATTATAGAACAATAGGTTGCGGTCACCGGTGACCGCTTGGTGTTTGACAGTTTAAAGCAAGTGTAACAGTACCTTTACATTTCAATATTATCATCGTAGTTTTACCTACAAACCGTGAAATTATCATCATTTATTTGCGCCCAATGTTCCTACAATAAACCTTTGCTATCTAGACAAATTCCTAGCCGAAGACCTGTCAACATTAATTACCATCTTAGCGTTAAACATTAGTAATTCAAGTCTACGCCTAGAAAATTCTTTAGGCTTTAAATAAAGCAAAGAGTATGAATGTGAAAGAGTAATCTCTGCTTATTGAAAAGTGTCCTTTTTAAAAGACGTCTACAAGAGAAAAAAAAATGAGATTCTTTTTCAATTTATGCGCACTTATGATAACTTCCCCTTGCGCATAACTGTTTATTTCTGGAATAAGTATAATAAATATGATTTTATTTTCATTTTATCTGCGCTAGCTAATTAATATGACGCATAATACCTACTTTTACAATTTTTTTACAGAAATTGTATGTAAGTACTCCATTTCCCCATGATCCATGTCTCAAAGAATTTTCTCGATAGGTAAGAGCAGTCCAATAAAATGTCTTCTATTTATCTTCTTCTAAAACGTAATTTGTGCCGTTAACTTAATTTCAGTTGGCCTTTTGTTGGATAACAGTTTCCTATTATAGTATTTGTTAGGGTTCGTGAGACCCGCGCGTGACCAAAATTTAGGTGCGAGGGAAAAATATCGCGTCGCCGTGTTCGTCACAACACTACCATAAATATCTGTCATTGGTTGTTTACACCGTGCCCGATTGTTTCCTAGTTTCTGTTACTGCGGTTTGGTATAACAAAACAATACTTTATTTTTTGTTTTGGTATAAAATAATCTTATTGGAAGTTCAATTTGATTATAAATAGTTTAGTTTATGATACAGAAATAAAGATAGCACGGAATACGCACAATCGACATATCTACACACGAACGTGAATGAAGAATATTGTAGGTACGCCTTCAAGTATGCATAATGTAAAACTCTCATTTTTCATCAGTGACGAGACACGAAAAGGAGACTGGTATACCTAAAAGTAGTCGAAATCCTCCCAGTATTTAAACATAATTGTAATTTTCATAAAAAATGTAGGCTTTTAAAAGGACATTCCAATATAATCTGTGCTTGACCCGCCAACACAACCCAGGCCGTTGTGCTCACTCGTGCTAGCGATTACTAAATCAACAAGATTAATTAATCAGGCGACAACTAGTGAAAGTGCTTACTATTACTAGCGGTCTAAACTGTCTCCAATCTAGCGCGGGTCACTGATAAGCATGATATTTATTATTTATTAAGTGTAAAATCTACTGGGTCACTCATTTCTTTCATTGTTCATAATATTACTAGTTTTCCGCCCGCGTCGTCGTGCCTACGCGTTTTTTGAGGGGTTGGGAGCAAATAAAATAGTTTCGATGCCTTTAAAATTGTGGAATACATAACATCTACAGCCTATAAATGCCCACTGCTGAGCAAAGCCTCTTCTCACACGGAGAAGGTTTGAGCATTAACTCGTCGAGTACCGGTTTTGTAGACACAATTAAAGAACAATAGGTTGCGGTTATTGGTGACCGCTTGGTGTTTGACAGTTTCACCACGCTTACTCAATGGTGGTTGTTGATTACAAACTTATAATTAGAAATTATAAGCCCAGGTTTCCACACGATGTTTTCCTTCACCGTTTGTCAGTGGTGTCTAAATAATCTTAGTAGTTATAGTACCTACATATAACTCGGAAAAACTCACATTGGTACTTGCCGTTGCTAGGTATGGAACCCACACTCTCATGCATGAGAAGCAGGCGTCTTAAACCTTCGGGCCACTACGACATTGAACACCACGAAATTGTGGAATGTTTTATACAAACTTCTATCTACCCACCATTTTCAGCAAGTAGGCAGTTAGAAAGAGACAAAAAAGTAGCCTATGTCACTCAGCATCCGTTTAAATATCCACTTAAAATAATCACGTCAAATTGTCGCTTCGTTTTACCGTGAATGACGAACAAATAAACAGACACACATACACATATTCCCATTTATAATATTAGTATGGATTAAGACCAAAGTACGATGTTAAAAGCGTAATAATATTTATGTTTATGATGACGTATGCATGCGATAGTGAGGGGGCGTGGTTTGGTTGTTTAAATTATGAGTAGTAGATAATTAATTGCATAAATATTTGTAAAGGGGTGACTGATATGTTTGGCTTTGAGGTGATATTGGATCCGTGTTGTGATCTGTGGTCCATGTGTGATATTTTCGAACATAATAGGGATGATGACAGGGTATGAAAATTAAAAATCTAATTAGTACGTCAGTTTGGTTATGAAAAAATATTAGACACGTATTTTTTCATCAAAGTTTAGGAGTGGGAGGTAGCTACGTCATTTCAGAGTATAAATTGTACTCAAAAGTGACGTCATGCGATATTTCAAATATAAATCAATATAGATACCTATAGGTATTCGAAACTATTCGTTTCCGTAAGAAAATAAAAATATGTTTTTAAATAATCTACCAGACGGACATTAAAATAAAAATTACTCATCTACCCTGTTATGGTAGTGGTGAAGATGATAGTCTCGAAATTGATCATGTTGTCACTTGGAACGAAGAGGTTACCCACTAAATAGTTGTCCAAATGAAAGAAACTCACTAAAATTGTACACTAATGTTCAGATTGTAATTGACAGGAGCCGATGCCTTAGTTTTAAGAGTTGCATTAACCACTTTGGCGATAAAGCCATAAAAACAACTGAATATTTGGTGTTTTAAATGTTAGGAATTCATATTGTTGTTGTTACCATTCCATAGGTTTCATCATCAACAGCCTATAAGTGACCACTGCTTGAGCATTAATCACCATTCTTGCCCAATGAGGGTTGACGATTTAAAACTTATAATTAGAAATTATAAACCAGGTTTCCTCACGACGTTTCCCTTCACCGTTAGTCATTGGCGTTTAAATAATCTTACGATTTCCATAAAAAGTCGAACCTAGATATTCCGGAAAATATTTACTTTCAAAGAAATTACTGAGGAAGTAGGTCAAAATCAGAAACCATTTCGTCTTCATAATATTCATACAATTTGTAAATGTATACAGTAACCTACCTAGCTTCCATATTTCATAGGTCAAGTAGATTAAGAGATTTCATGTTTAGTCAGTCTGTGACATTTCTTTTTCATAAATATGTAAGTACTAAGTAGATATAAGAAAGTACATACGGCTATACATACGGCTAGGTACATCGACGAAATACCCACCCAGTATATCCTGGCCTCGCGTCGTGTAACATTTCCAAACACTCGCCGATCAGTTTATACTGGTTGTTTAGTTTGATGTGTCCGTGTCTACAGTTCAATAGATAAATATTGTCCCAAGGTCTCTACTATCAACCCTAATCAGCTTTAGGCATAGCCTTTAATCTGGGACTTTAGTTTCAAAACCTAAATCGAAGTTAAATCTGTTGTTTTACATAATCCGGCTGCGATATCATACAACTGGGAATTACTCATTATGAACTAGATTACCAACGTTGTTTTTTTTAATTTGGTCAATACAAAAATAAAGCCAATCAAGGTAAATTAAACAAGTCGTATGGCTTATTTAGGTGTCTGTATAAAAAGGTACTCGATTAGTTTCAAGCCACATCAGGGGCCTACAACTTGAACTAGTTATTTTTTTTCAAATTTAAGCCGGTAACGCACTTGTAACGCCTCTGGTGTTCCAGGTGTCCATGGGCGACGCCGATTGCTTACCATCAGGTGATCCGTCTGCTCGTTTACCGGCCTATGCCAT